TGACGGAAAGGCGTGCAGTAATTATGCCGTGACTTTGAACAATTTATAAGTCATGCATGTCCTGTTCAGGATTTCTGTTGTTTTGTACATGCACGGATTTATGAATGCGAGCAATGGCAACTGACTGACATGAGTTCATCGCAATAAAACATGAAGTATGAACGAACCCCGTTCATTCAGAGCTTAAATGCTTACACTTTTCTACTTTAATGGATTTAAATGGGATTAGGATGCATAAACCTCAATAATTTAACGATGTAACACGATGGATTAAACCCCTGGATTTATAAATGCACCAATTTGTTGTCCAATATTGCGTTGAACTCATTCAGCTGAAAAGAAAAAAAAATGTAGGTGATATACTTCCTCAAAATTGTTTTTAGCTGTTTATAAAGCGTTGTTAAACAACCGAAGATCCAATCATCACGCAAGGCTCGCAGAGCTGGACTTTTGTAAACACCCATTTTAACTTAGCTATTCCCATAAGGTTTAGAGAGCGTTACTAGGTGACCTGTATGTTACGTTTCTGACGCGCATTCATATATATGGTCTCGCATTTCACTTCCTGACTCTGTCCGATATGATAATTGTAATCACCAGCCATTGTTATGGAGATCCATTCATATGGTCGCAGGTGTGATGACGTAGCTGTATATTTGTACATAATTAATGTTTAAATGCAAATAACTGTACTCACTCACACGACAAGTTTTAAACTCACTTTGTGCGCTAGAAATACATCTGAGAGGAATGAAAGGGACGTATGGACAGATAAATAGATACACGCAGGTTCACTGTCTGACGTAGGTTGTTAGCGGTTTCCCTCTGGACGAAACCGAGACGTTACAATGAACCACACCACGAAATATTTCTAGCATGTTATTTGACGCCAAATAAGGTTTGCAGTTTATAAAAATTTCTAAAACAGCCAAGCAACCAGAAGTGGATTTTATTAAAATTCTCATTGGCTTTTGAAGCGGAAACAAAGAACCAAAAAGCAAAGTAAGGTTGGAGTCTTGCGTGAAGCCCAAGTCATTATCCCTTACTGGGTTAAAGCAGCGTACGAAAGGCATAGCTGGAATTAGTAGTGCCATATACCATAACTGAGAATATGCTTACACTAACGGGATTGTTGTCTTAGCTGTAGACCTTGACATCTTCAGACCAGGACCTGTTGCTTCTGGTGGGACGATGATACCATCAGGCAATTTGTAGTATGGAAAACGAACTTATTTGATCAGTTGGAAGGATGTTTAGGCGCTGACCCCAGAAGCGTCAGGATCACTTTAGCTGAAGGTCTCCATAATTGGAAGTAGGAAAGTCGTGCCCTTTTAGAATTATGCCCTGATATTTGCCTTACTTCGGAGAAAAACGAGAAAGACCTCAAGCTCGTCTAAATAATATCTGAGATTTCAATCCGTATCTAATTTTTTTTTAATTACAAAGATAAACTGGTTAGTGCTCTTTACAGCGAGAACCACACGAAACTCGCAAATATGAAATGAAGAATTTCTGATCGTTGAAGCAGTAACCGAATGATCTATAGAAGGTTAATACACATTTACAAACTTTCAACCGTACCCTGGCTACGTATGTTAGTCAGTGGAGCGTGAAGTTCAGTGAGGTTTAGAATTTAAGGGCTTGCTGTAGAGTTAACTCTCCACTTTCTCATACATCTGCATGGCATGGTACTGTATTAAGTACCAGGGACAAATTTACTGTTGTCTCATTCAGACTGCAGAAGTTAGGCTAATATCTTTTATCATGGAATGAGATGAAAATGTAATCGGCGAGTAAAGAAATGGCCAATTAATTATCGAGTTATTAAGGGCGTATTTTGAACTGCATTTTATACAGCGTTGAACAGTAGGATGATTGTGAATCGTGAATTAATATGGGCGTGGAAGGAAGCAGCTGCTTCCCCTTTTAAAATTTTATTTTAAAGTTGAGAGGGTCTGAGAAAAAGTGCAATAAAACAGCTATCAGAACAGTAGTCCTCGGAGCCGAAATTCGAAGCTGGATCTATACGACTTTAAAGCAGAAGTGCTAACTACTTAAGCCCTGTGTTCGGATAGAAATTTTGATGAGGCGTTTCTGCTATTCTGCTGTCATCCAGAGGGGATAAAAAACCCCACGAAGAATCAGAGACAGAAAAGCCAATAATTTCGCTGAGATTCAAACTGGCCGCTTCTGTAGTGCAGGTCTAGAACGTTGTCCCTGTAAGCAAGCTGGCTCCGTAAGAATGCGTGGATCTAACTAACCTTAAAGAGTTATGGAGCTTACCGCGGAAATTCAAATCCAAGTCAGAAGAAGGATTTAATTAGGACACACCTAGCTCGTACAGTGAGTGCCGAACGCATGGGAAAATTACCTTCCTCATTGTTACTGTATTTAGATAGCTATTTCCTTTATTATTGTATTCCTTGATCTCTGAACCTCCAATCTAGAATACCGTTTTGGAAACAACGTTCATTTTTCCCTGCAGTGTGTGCCCGAAAAAAATTACAGCGCAGGTGTTGAAAGTGCGATGTCAAGACTCGTTCCACAATGCAACATTCTGGCTGCAAAAGAAAAGCAACTCCCAGACACTGCATTATTTCTTTTTACTTTTCTTTGTAGTGTTTCCCTTCTGTTTCCTGGCATGTCTTTGGTTTAGCGAAGCAGAATTTACTTCCCGGTGAAAAATAGAAGACGCTGGTGATAGCAACGTGAGGAAGAGCCTCGCAGGTGGCCCGCACGTGCGCCTTCATGTTATCACACGCGGCCTGTCTCGCCTCACTGAACAACGAACTCTGAAAACACACGACAGAAATAACACTAGGGCCACAGCTTCGAGTCGTTTCCGCTATTTCGGTGATCAACTGCTTTAAAGTTTAACTTAACTTCTTTATTTTTTTCTTCATTTGTCATGGGTTAAGCCCTCTGGCCTTCCAATACAAAGCCAATTCTGAAACAATGAATATTGTAGACATCTGGTACGACTCCTCGGATAGGGGATTGGACCATCCCAGAAATTTTACGTACACAAGACACAGAAATGAAAGCAGCGTGGTTCTAGGCCTGATCGGGATTCGAACTTGCAATAATAGGGTTGTAGCAAACCATGACCGCAACAAACCATAGACCACATGGTCGATGTACCTCTTCTTACTGAGCGAGATTTGAGGTTCTCACGGCGGCGAGTGTGAATATGGCTGTCTTCTGGGTTGTTGCGCCGTGTAGTCTGGTAGAAGTTTATCGACCTCCAGTATCAGGGTCGTGATAAGCCTGTTCAACTTCTTCTGTGTGTCTTATTTTTACTTTCGAATAATTAGTACTATATCACCTGCAGCTTTTTGAATTGTAATTTCCACTGCTTCTGTCTGTCCTAGCTAATAACGTTTGAACAATGTAATAGAATTTTATAAAAAAATACATGAATTTCATGTTAATGGAAATTACCAAGCCTTCGTATTTCTACCCACCAATAAACCAAACAAATGCCGGCCGTAGAAACATTTGCGATGGTCCCTACAATAGCGTTATTTTATGCAGCACGGTCAATTCTGTGTAGTGATGGTTCTTAGAAAAACTTTTATTTTATTTTTATTTTCTGCCGGTGTGAGTAGGTAAATATGTATCTGAGACATTCCTCATCAAGAACGGTCTAAAACAAGGAGATGCTTTGTCTCCCTTGCTCTTTAACTTTGCGCTAGAATACGCCATCAGGAAGGTCCAAGGTAGGCAGGAGGGTTGGCAATTGAACGGGACACATCAGCTATTGGCATATGCTGATGATGGTAATTTATTGGGGGACGATATAAATACAATAAAGAGGAACGCAGAAGTTTTACTAGAGGCTAGTAGACAGGTGGGGCTAGAAGTAAATTCAGAAAAAACTAAGTACATGTTAGTATCTCGTCATCAGAAGACAGGCGAGCAAAATTATCTTAGGGTGGCTAATAAATCCTTTGAAAGGGTTACAAAGTTCAAATATTTGGGAACAACAAAAACAAATCAAAATTATACTCGTGAGGAAGTTAGGAGGAGATTAAATTCTGGAAATGCTTGCTACTTCTCAGTTCAAAATATTTTGTCTTCAGTTAGTTAGTCTATCCATTTGTGTCTGTTACTGATTATTTTTTTACATTAAACGAACTTGTTCTTCTATCGTCTGGAAGACTATCTGTAAGTGCAAATACATATTTAAGTATAATGCGTGAAAAAAACAAGAATAAAACTGCTGTTAGTAGTCTGCTACTAAACGATTATCTTTTACCGAAATGTAGTTTCTCTACAACCATTGCGAAATTATTTACACTACACAGCCATACATCACTGTATGGAAATCTCCCGTTTCAAACATTACCTCAGCACTTCAATGATTTGCAGAAAATATTTTCTAAATTAGATACAAAAGAAAGATAGCTGTCGCTCTATATGCCATGTAAACGATTGGGGGGGGGGGTTTAGAGGAGATAGCCCATATTCATTCTTAACCTCGGTTCTAAATAGGGGTGAGTGGTTAGCAACACGCCCCGACCCCAAGAAAGGACCCCTGTACCCAATGGGCAGGAGGCTGGGCTGGTCTGATGCTACACCCGTAACTCAAGAACACAAAAATGTTATCTAAAAGAACAGACACTACTCTTATTGTTTGCTTGTGCCAGGACCTTTAACTACAGCGGACGCTTTGAAAAATAACTTCCAAAGAATTTGATCGTGGCAGTTCAATTACGTAATTCGCGCCTGTACGTCATTTGTTTCATTCGTCAGCAGACTGAAAATGGCGTGCTTACAAACTTTTTCGAACCTCACAGGTGATCCAACATTAACATAACAAACATATCACTATAATATATTATTTTTACTTAAATACTACAAATTTAAATAATAATAAGTTTTGGAAGTATGAGATAATACTTAACTTTACGTTTAGCTACCACTATACTGGAATATAATATCAGAGAATAAACATATGAAAATAATTTAAAATGAACAATTTGTTGTGGTAACTCTTGTTGTATGTTATGGCGACAGAAAATGACGCTGGTTTAAATTGTGCTTGTAATTTCTGTAATTGTAGCGCTTGAATAATCTAATCCGAACAATTTATTAACTTATATACATTAAGACATGTCCCAGCGACGTAGGAGAAATGCATTTGATGTGGAAAAAGGAAAATCTGACAGGAAAATATCAGGGACTAGTAGACCAACGTCAAAACAGTCTGCCTGGGTTAGTACGATTTTTTAAAAATTCGGTTGTCTGTAGTTGACTCAGAATGTTAACAGGCATGAACTCACTGAAATCTGTTGGAAACTTATTTTATGTTTCTTAGTAGTTTTGATTCTAAGTGTGAGGCTGACTAAAGCATGTTGGATACTTACAGATTCAGGATGAGACAGAAGACATTATAAGTTTAAAATCTAGGAGTGCTGAAGGTGAAGTGTCTGCTAATGAAGCAGAATCATCGTTCATCAGCTCACCAAAGAGAACCATTGTATCAGCAATGGGAATCAGCAGACTGCAAAGGGGAGCAATGACTGCTACAGAATCTCCCTCAATCAAACCTACTGCAAAAACAACAGTTGTTGAGGATATCCATTCACCAACAGGAGACAAGAGTTCATCCCCAGTTTCGCCTGTTTCTACGAAACATAAGTCAGCTGGCAATAGAAGGACACAGCTTGTTCCTTTTAGTGAAGTAATTACAGTAAATTTTAAATTTTTTTCTCCACAGCACATTGACAAGTTTCTTATGCCTTTCTTGTTAATGTGGTATTTTGAGGTAGCTATTTATTTACTGAAGTCTGTAGGTGTAATAGTTAACTCAATTTTACAAGGAGTTTGGCAGTGGAATATGTCATGATGATGTGATGGCCACTACATTTTTCTGTTTATATGTAATAAGGTATTGCTAAAGAGTTGGATGTAGGAAGGTAGGGATTGTGAAATGCAGGAAATACGATTTTTTTATCATATTATGTGATTAAGGGGAATAATGTCAAAGTTGGTTAAATGCAAATATTGCAGAATTTTATTAATTGGTCAACTATCTGGCTTTAACATCCATCTTCAGCTCTCCAGTTTCCATTCTTCACCAAATGTGTATTCCTTTATCTCAATATCTAGCATATAAACAATTTTGTTGACAGAAAACATTGTATATAAAAGATGAGGCAGTGTGATTTTGTGTAACAGTAAGGTTTATTAATATGGTGAAAACTAGACATTGTGGTT